GCAGTTTCAGCAACTGAAGCCTCTGCGACCTTCTGGCACCACAATGACAAAACTAGGCCCAACCCCTCAACATGCCCCTAAGAGAAAACAGGAGACATAGTGGAACAAATGCCGTAGCAATTCATAAGGCCAAAACAAAAGGTCTACAAAACGGCTTTTCTACAACTTGGGGAGCCCCGACCTGAGGCCTGACCCCCCCCTATTCATCATTTGTTTTGTAAAAAAGAGAAAAACGGTCTATAAGTAGGTCAACCCCACCCATTTCATGGGGGAAATGCACAAGGGGATCCTTTAGGGGATCCATATGTTCGGTTCCATGCAAATTTGCTGAGGAGTATGCGCCCAAATGAAAAGTGATGTCGGGCCAGCGGTTGCATGAAACCATCCAGGGGCAAGAGAAAAGGAGCTCCCAACTAGTCTGGAGCTAAGCTCATCTATCTCCTGGCTGAGCTTATTCATATCCTTGGAAAATCGACTGTCGAGCGCACCCGCCTGGCTGGGTGGCCAGTTGGTTGGACGTGTTTAAACCAAGATGGACGGCTTGGTATACGCAGGGAGTTATTGCTTTTGCGAAACAGACCCCCATCCAAGTTGCTTCCGGGAGCCTTTGCGCAGCATGGCATGGCACAAGGGGGTCCGTTTCTGCTTGGTTGTGTTGTACCTTGCTTGGTTTATTCGCAAGCCAGTGCTGAAATAATGCAAGAGACAACAGGCCGCAGGCGGGAGTACGCCCGGGTGCCGCTTTGGCCATTGGTTCTTTAGCTAAACAGCAAAGTGATCCAAGGAACATCGGAAGTGCCGCCGCATGCCAAGCAAAGCGGCGCCCAGCTCAGCCCGTGCCTCAGGGCGAGTCCTTGAGAGTGCTGTAGCCTCGGAGTCGACAGAGTCAAGCAACTTGCCCTGCCGCCTTCCCACATGGAGCTGCCAGAATGGCCGTTTTTTCCAGGGAGCCCCACGCAGATCCCATGTTCGTAGAACAAGGCCGGCTGGGAAACACGTAACGCAATCAATCAAACTTTCAGCTGTGACCACTTGGGACTGTGCACTCGAAATAGCGATTGGTACGTCGAGCCCACCACTGGAATCAGAACGTATTAAGTTGCCTGCTCTGCCGCTCAAATGTGCTTCCTCTATTGCGATCCTGCCCTCTTTGACTTGTCAATATTTCTAAAGCATGCCGGTGACAACAGTGCAGTGGATCTTCAGAAAAGATAACCATTTCCAGCAACCAACAGCAACCAAATGAACAATTATTCCACCGTGATTGTGTGTGTTGGTACGCGAGGCATCAGCTGAATGATGCCTCAAGAAAGGACTGGCCTATGTGGATGGACAAATCCACCAGTTGGGATGAAGCCCTGGGGTAAATCACCAACCAACTGCGAGGCTTGGGCCATCCACTCGACTTCCCCCCAATTGGTTTCATGCTTTCCGGGTGATTTCCCAAGCCTCAACAAGAAGGGGTTCAACTCCCCAAGCCAATCAAAACCGCCAAGGGTTACCTGATCAGCAGGAAAAAGACACGAGCTCTTGAAACAAATTCCGGCAAACCGAGCGGCCACAAGCTGTCCAGTTCCGCTGCGCTCGCCCCGGCCGCTTGCCACTCCCTTGCCCGCAGTGGCTGCAACAGTTCGCAGAGAAGAGGGAAGAAGGCAAACTGACATAACCTACCTTCAACCTAAACATATTCAAATATACAAGCTACAAAGTTTCACTGATGTTGGTTCCTTTGAGATTTAAGCGAATCAATCGCACCCAATCGCTGGATTGACCATATCTATCCGCAGGTGGTTTCGGTTGCGAGTATATATGTAGGGAAACGTCGATGTTGAACAAAGCACCGATGGGCGAATGGCTAGCTAAACATCTGAGTAAACGCCATCTGCGTACTGGCTGATATGTTTGCAATCCATCTGCTTAGGGCTCAAGAGGCCCAGGGGAACGCAGTTTCATATTTTCCTCTCGTCTGGCTGGCATACGCAAGCAGGTGCGTTCCTTGCGAGGGCTACTTTGTTGTGTAGTGGAGAAAATGCTACCATATCACTAAAGGAAGGAGTGCAACTTTCTCTCGTGAAGTTCGGACGGTCAGGTGAGAGGCTAACTGCCGGCTGCTGATCGTTTGTATGCACAAGGCGTCCTTGATTTTGTGTTGGGTTGTCGCATCGTCATGACGCCTTGAAAGCAAATGCTCCAACCGATCTGCAAGTGAGCGAGCCCCGCACCCTAACCAAGCCAATGGGGAACCAGGAAAATTTCCCGGACGTGTGCATTCAGCTTGCAGCTAAACGTGCCACGGGCCACCTCTGACCCACTGGAGTTGCATCACAGCCCAAGGCAACCTCCTACAGTACCGGATGGCCTGACCCCCCGGTCGCTCCTCCTTGATCTCATCTGCCTTTGGACAACTGAACCTTGGCCAAGCTTCCACGCACATACCTTCCTCGCCGAATTTTATCACACCCCACAAAAAATATAGGAACAACGGCATCGCTACAAACAATGCAGGTGGCACGCTTCCCGGCTGCATTATGATCTAAATGGCCAAGTTGAGGAGCTCCTTAAAGGGCGCGAGGATGCGCCATGTTCCTAACCCTTGCGTATGGTGTGTTTGATCATTTCCATGACAAAGCACAACAAGCGCCAAGAAAAGATGGTAATTGTTTTGACTGTGGCTGATGTGACACCTGGATCAATACCCGCTCTGGCCTAGGAGCAACAGCAATCGCAAAGTTGATGATGAGTTCCTCTGAGCAACGCCGTCGACCCAAGCGGCGCATATCATACAGGAGTACATGCCACCGAAACTGGATGGGCAAACTGCTAAGCCACAAGTCTCAGCAAGCTGGCAAAGTCCAAGATCACCAGGCTAGCTTTTGGAATTCTCCTGGACACAGTACTCACGTAACTGCCAAGTGGGCATCCGAACTTGAATCACTCTTTGACAATTTGGACATTTCTGCCGTCAATCAAAGTCATGCCTTGGCAGTCCTTGTGCGACCTAGCTGACTAGGTGTATTCCAGTGATAAATGACTAGGACTTCGAACTCAACTGAGACCACAGGAATACATCTACTTGCAACCGACGAGACAGTTCTCTTTTTGTTGCTTCCCTGAACCAAATCCCTTTTGGGAAGGTCAACTAAATCAGCTCAACCGGGGCGCGGGTCATGCACTTCCCTCTTTTCCCTTGGCTTGCAGCCGGGTTGAGGCGAGGGACTGGTGCTCCATGTGCCAGGCCGACACAAAGCAGGCCTCTGAGCAAAATTCCAGGCCGCATCGGCAAAACCTGGGGCTTGGATTTCAGTTCGGCGCGAGATGAAAACTGATCCTTCAACAACATGTTGGCCAACATGTTGCTTCGGACTGGTCATAAACCAAGGGTGGATTGAAAGCGCTGGGCCTGTCGAACCCCTGAGCCCAAAGCTCCAGGAACCCTACTGCTTTTCCAAAAGGGAGAGGCCTTTTGGGGCGTTCTCCTGCACATCCTTGACATGAGGTGCCTTTCAAACCCTCAAATTGGCACATGCTACAAGTCACCCAAGTAGCTACCAAGCACGGCATTGATTCAACAACATGCCCCGGCACAAACAAACGACATAACAAAGAAATGCCTGGCAGTTCATTGATGTCAGCAAGCATAATTACTCAACACCTGCAATCAATGCGCATCTCGATCTGGTCAACAGTGCCCAATTATCATTCTCAAGGTACATATCTCGCAAGGATCCACGCATTGTCTCTGTCTGAACTCTGGAGACTGAACGGCGATTTCAGCGGCTATCACTTGGAAAACCCTCGTTGACGTTTAAAGCTTGTTTCGCATGCATCCTCTCATCGTCATGCAGCCTGACCAAAAACCCCACAAGGACAAACAAGGTCCCGTAGCCTTCCTGTTGCAACTTATGGTTGCTTTGACAACCAAAGGATTGCGGGCAACATACATTGATCGCATCCAGTTGCTTGGCAAGTCGCAAAGACGCTCCCCTGAAGGTGCGTTTGCACTGTTGCCGCCCACAGCTCATCGCACGTGGACCGGTTAAAAATTAGGGGAGGAGTCTCCTCGATCAAGAAGCCCAGAAGCACGAGTCTGCTAGTGATCAGTACGGCTTGCGGTAGGTGCTAATTGGGGTGGTGCAAGTTCCCAGGACGCATCGGCGGGATTCACAGTTGGCACCTGGGAGTCTGCAGTCGTTGGTGGAGAAGCGGAAAACGGAAAATATGACTGCTGTCGGGAAGCGCCCGTCGAGCCAAGGAAACCACAAGCTCCACACTCGGCAGCAAGCGACAGAGTAGGCGCTGAGAACTGCGCTCTATGACATTCCAAAATATGACTAGTGGGTGATTATGATTCATGGGGTGGATGGCATACGTCGAGTTCAACTTGTGATCAAACTTACACTTTCTACCATTATCTTGGAACAGGGTTGGCTGCTTCCAGCATTGAGCCGTGCGGAATTGGGCTGGGAAGCCCAGACTCATCAGCGTAAGATCATGTGGAACGTCACAAATCTTTACAGTGAATTTGCGGTGAAATCGAAGCGCATGTAATAATTATAGCCCAGACACGGTGGAGGCGTGAGTAGGATGGTTTCTTTGCTTGTTGGTTTGAGGGAAATAGGGAAACTTGTCTGTTTTCTTTGTTTGCCTGTTGTTTGTGGGGCGGGGGCACGTACTCTGTATTGATATCTCTTCTCAGGCATGCAAAGGCAGATGTGTACCGTAATAGTATGCAATGCATACATGCAAATTACGCACCTGCATAACACCAAATATGACTATCTATACGTACAAATGTGGCCACTGCTGAGAAAGGATCTGTGTGTACATCCTGTGGAAGGCAAGAAAAGCGCAGCAGCTAAAGGCATGCCCGCTGGTCAGTAAGTCTTCAGGACCAACCAAAAAATATAGCAACACTTTCAACAAAACTGGGATCACCCAACGTATGGATTCGCCGCATGCAACCCCAACGCACCATTTTCATCCGGCCCCGACGTTTCCCGCGCGCGGGTGTTAGCGCCCGGCTCGCGCCAGCGTCGGTACCAGGAGCTACCCAAAAGGGACTCACTGGACTGCTGCTCCTGGGCCGAGTGGCCTTCGACCACTCGGTTGCGAAATCTGCTCCCCTGCTTCCCTGCTCACTAAACCACTGCTCTGTTGCTTTCTGCCTGCTCAAAGCTTAACCTTTAGTGGTTTAATGGAAAGCCCACTAGTTGGCCAAAAGTTTAAGACCAAATATATAAAATGCACCAAAGAATGGTTACCCTTCCAGCGGACAACAGGAGCTTGGAAGACCGAAAGCTGTCGCTTTGGGAAAGCCCCCTGTCCACTGCCGTGATTCTTGTTGGGAAAGGGTGCATGCCCGGTATCGGTATCTGGTTCACAGGAGGGTCCTGAAATCGGGAAAACACATCAAATTGGGCTCCTGAGGCTGTGTGGGGTAAATGCCAAACACAAACAATGAAGCCAGCAACATCATGCCGAATCAGCTTGTGAAAATGAAGGTTCAAATTGGCCAAAGCAGGTCCTTTGGACTTGGGTGAGTTTTAATTCAAACCTGAATTAAGGAGGGACCTGCGTGGGGGAGCTCGTGTCACCAAGTCAAGCTCACTGATTTACTAGTGCTGGGTGCTGACTAGTAACAGGCGGAAACTCGCACAGACGCGGAAGAAGCGTCGTATATAAAGTAGTTTTTCCTACTCCCAGCTCATACAAAACGCCAACTGAGGCTGAGCAGCATGGCTAAAGATGCTAGTAGGTCGTCCGGCTGCATGCTCTTGCAAGTTGAGCTTGAGTGCTGCCGAACTATCGAACTCAGCCCGGCGGCAACAAAGTAACATTGAAAGACACATGTAGCTGGTACATGGTGTTGAGTTCAAACAGCTGGCAGCAACTAGCATCATCTTCATGCTAGGGGATGTGCTTAGATACCAATTCCTTGCATGTTCCTACCATCAATCCACTCCAGGAACCTCCTGTCCCACGTCCCAATGTACCATCTCCAATAATTTCCAATCACGGCTGATTCAACTGCCTCACACTTCCCTGCCTCTAACAGAACCCAATTCACTCCGCGTCATTACCAATTCATTCTCACCCCCCCCCCCCGGGCTACCTGCCCAGCCAAATCAATTAACTCATTCAGTCTCAACTCAAAGTCACTCCCACTCGAACCACCCTAACCCCGGATTCGTCCCTGAAGTGGTCCTATCGTCGCTGGTTCGCTCTTCTAAAAGCGGTTTCAATACAACTGCAATTTGCCTGGTCCAAACAAATTTCAAAGTAAGAAACCCCTCTTTCAGGGCTCGTTACACTTCTCGCTGAAGACTTACCCAACAATGTCCAACACGTGAAACATGTCAATCAGCGTCATGTCGATCCGGATACTGGATTATTCCGGAGGTGTTCCCCCAAAACGTGAAGGTTCTGCTCAAGGGAGGCCAAGGAAAACACACCTATTTTGCAGCGACCCGTCCGTTTGAATTCCAAACTTGGAAGCTCCCGGCTTTCGACCCCATGATCCAATGACTCCATGTCCCGATCCGAGGCTCGATGAGGTCCAGCGTGCGGCGGATCGCCTCAAAGTCATGCACCGGGCACCCCATGAGCGCCAGCTTCAGCTCTTGTCGCTTCCTAGGCAATGCACGGGAAGCGAAAAAAGACGTGTTAGAGGCGTATTAGCGTATAAAGTGAAAGAGGTCTTGCTACAAGCAAACAGGTACACGAACATACCTGCACCCTCCGAATGTACTGAATTTCCGTACATGTCCAAAAAACTCGTGCATGAACACTTTTTGGAAAATTTGACGGAAATCGCCTTTAGCAGGCTGTGAGCGTTTGTGGTGTTCCTGGATGCACTTAAGCGCAGTTTGCAATTTGTATGGCCGGTCATACTTAATTCCGCTTCAGGTCATTCGTCTCCACTTGCTGTGGGGCAATGTGCTACAGCTTGCTTGCCGCTTTTGCAAGTTTGCAGTTTTCTCAGCCAAAATGCAGAAACCGGAAATGCACGGAAATCGGCCGGAAATGTCCGGAAATCGGCGGGGAAAGTACGGAAATCTGCGGAAAAAGTACGGAAATCTGCCGAGAAAGTACGGAAATCAGCGGAACATTTGCTTGGGGAAATGCGTACCTTTTGTCCTTGGTGAATTGCACACATTCAATTGGGTTTTGTTCGGCCCATGAGCATGACAGTCTCCAGTGCCAGAACTGGAGCTGAACGTGAGATTCTTGCAGAAAAAGAAAGTTGAATGCTGCCGTGTCTTTCATTGTAGCCCGCAAGAAAAATACAGTTTTCGCTCAAATGCCTGGAGTTCACGGAAATGCGCGGATTTTTGCGGATAGTCGCAAAACAAGTGCCCTTGATTGGTCCAGGTATATATATATATATATATACATAACCTTGTAAACCCAGAACCCGAAAAAAAGTAGGAGGACTTTTGAGAACCTGCGTCTCAGGGGGTCACATGTGAAGAACCATACTATTGCTTGAAGAACCGGGTTCTTTGGCAAACGTGGCAAACCACAGGCGTTTCTGACGTTTGTGTGACTCCGGCCGCGTCTTTGCGGCTCTTTTGCAGCCACCGGCCAATCTGCGATCGCAGCAGGGCTAGCTGCTCAGAAGCAGGGCTCCTGCACACGAGGGCAAGTGTCATCTGCATCATTTGTTGCAGCGTGTGATAGCTACCGCGGTTCAAGCCAGGCAAAGCCGTGTAGCCATGTGTGACATAGCAGAGTTAGGCGTTGAATGGGACAAGGTTGAAGTTATCAGGAACCGTTTGCGTGATGGGAGTGGGCTTTTAAGCCCGGTGGTGACTGGGCGAAAGGATATAAGGCTTCACTGGGCAGTGTCTAACGCGGCCGTCCTCACGGTTGTGTTGAAACGGATGGCTCTGAAGGAAAAATTGAAGCTGCCGCAGGTGGAGGGGCTAAGGTCTGAGGTTGGGACAGTCATGAAGATGAACAACCAGGAAGTGAGCATGGAGACGGTTGACACCGTGGCTTGGGACATCAGAACCATGTGCACGTACGTGAAGCGATGCGCCAACCGAAAAGAGGCATCAATGGAACTTAAGCTGAATTATGTATTGCAACCTTTCCTGTGAGTGATGTAGCCAACTTACCCATCCTGTGCCCTGCTAAGAACCGGGCTTTTCAAGACCTGGTCCTCATCTTGAACCCTGCGTTGAAGGCATGGTGTGTAGCGCCTCGATCTTGCTAACATCCATTTCTGATTTGCCCTGATCAGGCCGTTGTGGACGCAATGCGCGCTAAGGCCGCTGGGGAGGGAAGGGTTTGCAACATGGGATTTTTTTAAAACAATTCAAATATGGGCACGCGTGTGGGGGAATTGCGACCACGGATCTGCCTCGTGCGCAGGATGGGGAGCGCGACGATGAGGATCTTACGGGAGATGATGCTGACTTTGAAGCCGACCTTGATGAATCTGATGAGAACGCATCCGACTCAGAAAGCCGCAGCACCAACCAACCTTCAGCATCCCATGAGCAGCCGCAACAAGAAGAGCAGAAGCAAAGTGTCACAGCGCAGCTTACACCGCAGGCAGAGCCAGTCACACAGCAGACTCATCAAACAGAAGAGCAGCAGGCAGACCAAGTGAAAGAGCCGCAGCAGCCCCCCGAGCAGCCGCAGACCAAACGCCAGACAAGCGACGTGATTTCGGTGCAGGAAAGCCCCTCCCAGCCAGAGTGGACTGACAGACAGCTTGACACACAGGACACCCAGCTTGACCCTGTTGAGCCAACCTCAACATCCAAGCCAGCAAGCAGGCCAGCCGCCCTTGAGCCAGAAACACCTCCAATCCCACTCACCTGGCCTGGGTTTCATGGTGCCCCGGACCAAAGCTCTTGTCGCCCGACTGCATGCAGATGCATGCGTTCCCATTTTCAGCCGCTTTTGTCCGCACTGGGGTTTAACGGCCAGGTGCTGGCGCGCTTCGTCGTGGCAAGAGCCGCGTGGACTTGCCCTACATGGACAAACAGCGGGAGCTAGACATGCTGAAGTGGCGACTGACCATGATTCTTGGCACAAGTTAGTTGCGTTACCAAGTTGACCAAGTACCAAACAAGAACTGCGCACCTTATAAACCTAGGATCCGGAAGCAGAAGGAGGAGGCCGACGCAACCCCAGCACCCGCGCCCCAACACAAGCCAGCCGACAAGGGCATGGACCCTAGCAGCGCGGACACACAGCCAGTCAACATCATGGCCTGCAACCCGTCTGGCGCCGTGAGAGAACAGTCCCCTCCAACCGGCCTCTCCCCTTCTCCTCAGACGGCAAGGCGGCAATACCAGCACCGCAAAGACCCTGAGCCGACTCTCACCTTGGACTCCGCTGATCCTACAATCAGCCAACAGCAGCCTGACGCTGACCAAGCCATGGACAAGCCTGATGCGCAGCCCGATGATAAGGAGGAGACTAAGCCAACAGAGACGAAGCCAACAGAGAAAGTTTGCATCCTTGACAAGGCCCATATAGGGAAGAGTTTGTCAAAACAACAACTTCGGTAGCACGGCGTTACACTCAAAGGGATCCCCTGTTGCGATGTGTCGGCACGCGCTTGCCTGCCAGGTCTTGACGAGGCGGGACCAACTGAAGGGCAAAAGGGTGAGGAAGGAGAAAGATGGGCGAAGTTGCAAGGGCAGCCGCAAGGAGAACAAGACCAAGAACAAGCGCAAGAGCCACCAGAGCCACAAGAGCAGGAAAAACCGCAAGAGCCGCAAGCTCCGTTTGCTGCGCAGCAAGAATTCCAGTGATTCAGAGCCTGCCCAGGACGATTCAGCAAAAGCGCCAAAGAAAGTCAAGAAAGCAACGAAAGGCAAGAAAGCAACAGAGACCAAGCCCAAGAAAGCCGCAGCTGCAGAAGCCAAGCAAACCGAAGCCAAGACCGACAAGACTGAAAACAGCAAGCGCACAAAAACGACCAAGAGGCAAGCAAAGGCAGATGTGCCCTACGATGAGTCTACAGTGCTGGATATGATTACATGGATGGAAAGCTTTTTGGAGGAGCCAACCGATTGCCTGGATGAGTTGAAAACCCAAGTCCGCGCACACCTCCCCGACCTGAACACAACAAGGTTGGACATTTACTGGTCCAGGGGTTCCTGCGGAATCAGAATGAATACTTGCAAGAAGAATTGCGGGTACCTCTCACTCCATGACTGGTTACAGGGAGGGCATCCGTGCGGGAACATTCTGATGAGTGTCAAGGCATCAAGTTGCGTCGCTCCTCAGTTGAAACATTAGATGATATCGCAACTGGCTTGTTAGTTTGACAAACGAGATTCCTATCCCGCTCCAATTTCCATTCACAACTTAGGCCCAAGAGGTGGAGGCCAAAGAGCTTGAGGACGCCAAGGACCCGGTTATCAAATCCATGATTGCAGTGGCGAAGGCCAATGGTCTGGAGGCCTTGAAGCGTTTGAACACTAGAATCCGCGTGTAAAAGGATCCGTTTCTGTGCCATTTGGGCAAAGCCTGGGGCAACTTGCATAGCAAGTTCATGGGAAAGCTTTGCCACCGCCCTATGCCTTTTCACAAGGTGGATCCGTTTTAGATTGGACTTGGAGGCCGTGTGTAAATCACGAACATCCACAAACACTCCACTAATTCTAGACTTGCCCAACCCTGATCGTCTCACAGCCCGGTCTCCTTGTTCAGAGCTGTGCTGCAGCACGGCGCCCGCAAAGAGCCTGCGAAGCCAGTGGGGAACAAAAGCCCAGCGGATCCAGTAGCTGCATGTTTTGTTCCCATTACGATTGATTTGCTCAAGTCTGAGGTAAGAATCGTAATTGCGCCCGCCGCCTAGGCTTTCATGCCAACCGTGAAGGCCGCCAAACGCCGGGCCAAGCAACGGACGAGATTCACGACGCGTAGCCCTGGCATGTTTTTAAACCACTTTGCATCTTGATGCTGCCGCTGAACAGTTAGCCCGCAAACCTTGGAAAGGACGATTCTGCAGCCATTTTGGTTTGACAGGGTGTCCTTGGAAAAAAGAATAGTTGCGGCATGATTGCCTTGGATGAGCTCATGTGGGGGCTCAAGTCAGTTCAAGCCCCTCGAGTACCCCGAAAGCACTTGGCTTGTCGCATTGAGGGTAAGCATAAACGATAGGGAAACCAAATTTCATGAAATGATCAGGACCTTGTCCTATGCATCTTGCTGGTCTACTTCACAGAGGGCTGCTACACATTGGACCAGGCGCCTCTGTATAGGAACCAAGTTGTGGCATGACACACCCTGCCGAAATGATTTCTGTTGATTGGTCAGGGGTTAGACTTCATGGAGTTCTACGCAGGGTTGGCCCGCACAACAGCCTCTCTTAGAGAAATTGGCAAAGTCGGAGTTCGGCTGGACATCGATTACTTCAAACCTGACAACTCCGGATTCAAGTCCAACCCGATGGACATTTGTTCTGCCAGTGGCCTACTGTTGCTTTCCCGCAAAAAAAGGAGACAGGTAGTCAGCTTACAAAGTTGCCGTGCCACATTGTGCTGAGGCTGGCACTCATTGCTATATTGAAAGGCAGCCCGGAAGGGTTTGTGGCTTGGTTTGCCATAAAGTGCAGCTCATGGTGCGCAATGAACAAAGGAACATCGTTCCGTGCATACTGCAGCAGCGTTGGAGATTTAACATGCAAATCAGTGATCTACGCCAACCAAATGTGCGAAAGGACCACGTACAGTTTGTGCCATTCACTTTGAATCTCTTCAGGAATCATTTAGTGACGCGTGCTTGCAGGACAATTTTATGCATTTATGTAGTGCTCGCCTGCAACGGAACTTGGGCCCTCGAACAGCCTTCTGGAAGCGCCCTGGAGTTCTACCCAGCCTTCAGGCGGCTGCTGCAGGTCCAGGTTGACCTACACGGGCTTCAAAGCACCGGGTCTGAGTGTGAACCATCATGTTGCACCAGAAAAATTGTCCCAAAGTGCGAGTGTTCAATCTTAGGCATCATCAAAACATCATGGTGGATGGGAGCCTATTCTGCACCAACCATGAAAAGGCATTACTGCTACAGCAACTCTACATCCATCCGCCGGTTGGACAAGGGCCGGCTGACCGGATGGAAGAGTTCGAAGGTTGTGACAACCAAGCGCTACACTAGTAAGTCCACTGGAAAGCAGGGATACACTGGGACGCGTGCCCTCAAATCAACAGAGACCCTTTTCTTAATTTAAGTGCGTGCGCAGCCGTAGCATGCAGTCGTTTTTTTCGGGTTCCCCAACCGGCCCAGGAACTATCCCAAGCGCTTTGCCACGGAGCTAGCTGGCCTTCATGATGAGCTGAAAGCCGTCCGTTTCGCTAGGCCACCCATCCCAACCCCCATCCCCAGTGCCTTGGATAGTTTCCTGTCTCTTGGAGATGGTTTGGACCACGCATTTGAGAACGCTGACCTCAAAGGGGTGTTCGAATATTTGCGAGGAGGGAAAGGTCTCCGAATTCCAGCCGAATGGCGCCCCTACATTCCCAGATCCCTGTAGATTCGGATTTCAAAGCGTTTGGGGGTGGGCATGCTCAAGAATTTGTGGGATCTATATTCACAACCCGTATTCTTCCCGTACAAAACCCGTAAACCCCCGTACAAAACCCGTTTCCGAAAGATGAAGATCCTGGTTTTTGGGAAGAACCTGGTTTTCCTGAACCCGTACAAAACCCATATTTACCCGTACAAAACCCATATTTACCCGTACACGGAATATGGGTTAATCCTGCCCCCCCCCTGAACGCTTTCCAAACGAAATCTGGGAGCACAATTTGAGCCTTTAAATTCGGGCAGTGGACTGAACTACTGCCTGGCCGGCAGCACTCGCATGGTCAAACAAGTGGGGAAAAGGCTTGTTCCTACGAACCTGCTCGTGCAAATTTCATCATGTGCACACGGTCGATGTGTGAATCATGATTCTGATAGCTGGCATTTTGCTCAGTCTAGGCTAGGCACGCATGTCGAGCAATCGGTGGAGCTGTGACACTTTGCAGTACGGGTTTGAGAACATGATGGCTGATGCCACCCTACCTGATGAAGAAAAGTGGATTCTCCAACGGATTGAGGACCCCTGTTTTTCCAAATGGCGAACCCTCTAGAGTTGCACCTTTCAGGAGTTGGAACGGAGCTCAGCCTCTTCAGAAACTCAACCGGGAGCCCCTTAGCTTAAGTAACCCCACCCCAACCCAACGCGACTTGCCTCCCCTCAGGAAGTCAATGAGGTGGCACCGCTCGAGAAGCCTGCCAAGGAGCGCGCGCGCGCTCACGAGTTTGTTCAAACTGAAAGCTGTTTGGGTTTACCTGAGGTGACTACTGGAAAGAAGATGCCTGCAGAGCCACTGGATGCCCCGGAAACACCACCTCCAACAAGGCTTGATTTCGAGCCAGCCTACACGCCTACCCCGCCCAGCCAAGAGCCACAGCCCAACCTGGTTAATCCAACCATGAAAAAGCAAGACCTTGGCACCCCTGATGATGGGAAAAAGGAGCCCTCGCGCCAAGCCCTTTGGATTGCAATTGAGCAAATTGAGAACGACCGATCTCACTTTCTACACTAGGGGTTTTGACCTTCAGCCCAGGTGAGACTTCGACTGGCGGCCAAAGCGCGCATTCGACGCATGATCACTCCCAAGAAGAAGAGAACAGATCTTGCAGCCCCAGAAACAGTGCAAGAGCAGTGGAAGAAGGGCACACTTGCCCGTGACGAAATGGCTGAACTTTTGGTTGCCTCCAACTTCCGGAAGGACCTTTCGTTTGTTTTTGGTGCAAAATTTTGTTCAGTCAAAACCCACACTTGCACTCCCTTCTTGTTGTTCTAGCTTGACTGGATGATCTAGTCACAGCCGCTGCAGGAAGAGTTCTTTGATCGCCTGCAGATCATTGTGACCTCCAAGCAGTCATTCAAAATCACTCGGGACGAGGGATGGTATAGCGAAGCGGAAATGAAGGGGGAGTTGGCGTGGTCCGCGTGGGGAGCTTACGTCAATTTTCATCAGGGGAGATTCAATTGACACACATGGTCCCTCGACATGTCAGGTCCAAAGTAGCAGGAGCCAAGCGGTTTTGCATGGACCGTGCATCCACGCACACAAGGCGATCACTGATTTGGTTTTTCTTTGGTTTGTTTTATTGGGATACCAAGCGTGTTGCCGTGCCAGGCAGAACCAGTACGACAACGAAATGGAGTTCTGGGTCTGTGTGAGAGAGACCGGATCTCATACCCAGAAAAGATCAGAAGAAGAACGTCACACATCCTCGTCCAAGGCCCCCAAAATCGAGTCTTTTAGGGCCAACATGTGGCGAACGTGTTTCCCTTTTCCCTGCATGAATGGCCCGCCTCGCAGGCTGACCAGGCGGCCAAGCTCTCAGAGGGCGCCTTCAGCAAGCTCAAAGACCTCGATGCCAGATCGGCCGCGGAGACCAAAGTGGCAACAGGCAACAAAGAGGCTGAACCTAGCAACTCCGATAAGGTGCCATTGGGGTCAAAACTTTGGATGCGAAATCCCCCTGCACACATGTTTGCCTCTACTTGCCCCTGTCAGCACGCTGATGATCTCAAGAGATTCCTCGAGTCCCTTCTGACAAAGACTTCAAAACTACGATCTGTCATGCGAGATCTGCAGAAAAACTATGCTGCAGATGACCGAGCAAAGGAGTGGGGGCCTTTCATGGTGCCGGCCAAGATTAGGGTCGCATCGTCAAATCACAAGAGCTTTGAAACAATTTTGCGAGCACACCCCAACTTTGTTTTAGGTCATTGGCCAGCTTGGACGTGGAAGTGCGCAAGCTGGATGAGCAATATGATGTTCTTCATGATCAGCTCGCAAAGGGACAAAACCTTAAGTATTCCGAAGCGTGCCTTGCCCTGCCTTATGTGGGAACCGCTTTGGGTTTTGCGCGGATCTTGGAGCCCAGGTGGTGGAAGGAAGCCGAAAAGAAGCTGGAGCATGCAACATACGTGTCCCTTTCTTATGAACAAATGTTGTGGGTCGATGGGTAGGGTCAATGGTGGACAATCGCCCAGCCATCCCCTGCTAAGGTCTGGGCGAGCCATAGCCGCAGAGAAAAAGATCCGGATCCTTGGCAGATTGGGACTTGTCAACCGTGCGGCCCTTTGTTGTTTGCACCCGTTGTCCTCTGTGCGTGGCGTGCGTGTTTTCAAGTAGCAAGGAACGCCAAGAAGTTCTTCAACAAAGCCGATGCTGATGAGGGTGCCGGGAAACCTTCAAAGAGGGCGAAGGTTCCTAAACAAGACAATGCGGAAAATGCCGCTCCCAAAAAGAAGGCCAAGCGTGGCAACCCTAAGGGAAAGCCTTGAGTGTGTTCGGGTAAAGAAAGCTCCGGACAAGTAGTTTAACGCGGCAGGTGGCTTTAGGCTGTCCCAACCGGTTCCACTAGTCAAGGCGAACATCAAAAAGGGATTTTCAAAGCATGTGCAATTAACGTGCTTGCTCCTTCGTTCTGGTTGGGTGGTTGGGGCAGCGGGCCAACAACGCGTGATGTTTGATCAGAATCCTGAACCAGCGATCCGTTCTGGCTGGGGTGTGCTACATTTCACACAGTGCCGGGGGAAACACCTGTGTGCGTGGCTAGAGCCTGGCCTATGTCAAAAAAAACCCGCTGATTTGAGTGGCCGGATGTTGCATCACCGTGAAAAGCTCAATTTTGAACATTCTTAGTTTCCAATCAATGTGTGCCCGGCCAGGCGCTGGCCCGGCTCTTCGGCGATGCGTGCAAGACGTTGGCGAAGGGGTTCCTTGGAATGACCAACTAGTCAAGTTGTTGGGTGTTTTGTTCCACGTTGAATTTTCACCAAAAAACGGTTTCGGGGCGCACCACCTGAGGTTGCCTGCACCACTGCTATTCGGTTTGCAAAGGCGGTTGAGGACGAAGTCCCTGAAGCAGCTATGTCCAGTTTACATGCCTTGGCGCGTTGCTCGGAAGCTCATTCAGAACGGGATGTTGACAGGGTTGCTCGCAAGTTCAAACTTGCTATCCCAATACCATTGCACAGTGTGGACATTGGGAAGGGGGTCATGGTGGACATCCTGAGAATGACTAGCTGGGCAAAGTGGCTCTTGCAGGAAACAAACCTTGGGTATACTTTGACTGGCCAAGCAACACGTAACGCAGAACACAGTGAGCGCATATGGGCCGACTTTTGGCAGAACTACGCCTCCATACATCCAGCCCATCCTATTTTCTCCAGGGCCGCAAATGACAAAGAGTTCAGTCTGAGCAGGACATATTGCCTAGCGCTCCACGGCGATGAGGGCCGAACTCGGAAAAAGTCGGCGGTGATGATCTTGAGTTGCCACAGCATCTTGGGCCTTGGTAGCCGCCCATCGGAGCACAAGAAAGGGAAAGGAGGCTTGCTGGGTGAGATGAAAGTCAACTGCGTTGGCTCGACCATGACAACAAGGCACTTGCTTTCCATCCTCCCCCGCAGCTACTACGATGACTCAGCTGAAGGCGACCCATTTGAAACCCTTGTTGAACACATTGTCGGTGACTTGAACCAGCTTTACTGGGAAGGAGTGGTTGGTTTGGATGGCAAAAGGTATTTCTTTATCGTTACCCACCTGATGGGTGACTGGCCGTTTCTCAACAAGCTGGGAAAATTCACGCGGTCGTTTGCCAACGTGGCAAAAGCGGAGAGCTCAAAGACGGCCCCCAAGGGAATTTGCCATGTTTGTTGCGCCGATATGGAGGGCTACCCGTGGGAGGATTTCGAATCACCAGAACCAAAGTGGAGATCAACCCTCAACACTCTTAGCCCTTTCCCAGAAGACCCGCCAGCTGTTCTACGTTTGGTGCATGACACATCGGATGATGTTGGCTTTTTTGCCCAGGATTTATTCCATGCCTGGCATATTGGAGCTGGCAAGGTGCATTTGGGGAGCACGATCGCACTTGCCACATCGCTTTTTCCTGGGAGAGGTGTTGATGCCCGCTTTGAAGCTATAACAGCTCATTTGCTTCGATGGGCAAAAGAACGCAAGGTGCAGATCTATATCCGCAAGCTCACCAAGGAATGCATCCACTGGAGCTCAACAAACCAGTACCCAGTGGGGGGTTGGAGCAAGGGTTCAACAACATTGGCGCTCACAAGGTGGATGCTCCACCTTTGCGAGGAGTTTGCTGGCGAAATCTCTGAGGGATCCCTTCTCTACCTGGGATTGCGGGCGCTCAAATGCATGAACTTGTTCCTATCCAAATTGTATAGGGAAAATGTGTGGATAGCAAGCAACAAGGCGTTGGTCATCGCTCAGCACGGCTTTGACTTTTTGAGATGGATGGGGCGGGCTGCCAAAAAGGCAAATGAAGAAGGGGAACTCTTCTACATCTTTATGCCGAACCACCATAGAATCCATCACATTTGTTTTGCCCTTTTTGACGAGGCCAGGCGTTCGCACCTGGCCTTGTCACCTATATGCTTTGCATGCCAAATGGATGAAGATTACATAGGCAGGGCCGCACGGCTGTCCCGCCGCGTGAGCCCGCGCCAATCCATCCAGAGAACAACAGAACGAATCCTGAAATTAGCCTACAGCAAATATGTTGAGGCTGGGTACATAATCAAGACTCTATAGAACGCCTGCGACCGTGGAAGCCCGCCACATTGGGGTCCCCGGCGAGTTTCACGAGGAACACGGCCAGGACGAAGCCAAAAGGCCCAGGTGCGCGGGCATTTTCGAGCAACCCATTCTCAACCCCCATGGTCTTTACTTTGAAAACCCGGGTTTTCATGTTGAAAACCTGGTTTTCAGGCCCCTCCTACTTTTTTGTGGGAGAAGGGTTTCGAAGGAATAGAAACATGTATATAAATATATGTACATATATATATATATATATATTCGAATTTAGTACTGGGGCCCCCGGGTTTCGGGGGAAAACAAAACACTATTATTCGGGGGACCTTTGTTATTAGGGGAAACGGATTCAGTGTCAGATGTGTCACTTCAAAGGCCCACAACTCGAGACCGGAAGAACCCGCATCAGACCCAGACCTTTACATTACTGAGTGGCGGCCAGGGGATTGTCCAGGCTTTAGCCCAACAAAATGCTGTGCATATCGCAGAAGCCCAAAGAACCAATAAGAAATTGACTTGCCCAAACGTTATGACCAACGGGAAGCGATTTGAATAAACGTTATCCAGAATGTCCATTGAACAATGTGGAGGTGTGATATCAATGAACAGGCATGCAGAAAAGGTTGTCAATGTCCTGGATTGTGATTGTCGGAGCTACGGGTCACGAATTTGACCCAGCAGCTGCACAGATTGTGCCATTTGCAGCTCTGAATCCTTACGCGGGCAAACTTAGAAATGACTACGTAGTGCATGTCAAGTCGCTGCTGTATCATTTGTTTGTTTAACACTCTTGAAACCAACTGAGGTCCTGACAGGCCTCAACCTCTGTTTGGTGCCTGGTGGCGGGCTCTGTTGGTTTTCTTAAAGGCTGCAGGATGTTTACCCAACTGGCGACACACGTGCGCACAACCGAGGGAAAAGCACAACTCTCAGAAACAAACAAATTTAACCCGGACAATTCATGGGGTGTAACAATATGTTGCGTTTTGTCCGGGGCCTTGGCATGTTTGATTTTGCAATGTGTTCCTGCATGTCGTTCGTTCGCTGATGGAAGCCCGGCGGCCCCTTGTGTATAGAATTGGGATGTGTGGCATTGCACCCGCTTCTGGCAAGACATGTAAACATATATATGCTGAGTACAATTGCAAGTAAGTTTTTGCACATCAATCAAATGTACTGTCTGCATGTGTGAAATATAGATATATATATAATATACATATATATATACACTTTTGTGGTTGTGCGCTTTTGGGGATACTTGCACTGTCTATTTTGCCGCTTGATTCACTTCGAGCCACCCTCCCCTGCTCATCTGCCCAACCTGAGAGGCTGCGAATAAAGGCCGTTGGTCCCAACATGTCCGAAAGCCAATCTGAACGAAACAAACACAACTTGCCAATCTGAATTGAGCTGGATTCCCAAGAAAAGGCACCATCATCGTGGGGAAAACGGTCGGAAAGTGTCAGCTTTGTGAACGCATAGTCTGCCAATAACTTGCAGTTTTGGGTTTGTCGCTGAAATATTGGAGCCGACACCCTCAAAATGAGTGCTTCCTGAGGTTGATCTCAAACTAGACGAAGCGCCCCCATAGCAAATGAGTGGTTTTCGTTTGGTCTCGCTTTGGTTTCCCTTCTGGACCCTCAACAAGCCAAACACTTTGTGAACGTGTTTCAAAATCAAGGAATCCCGAAAATGGCCGGTTTCCTGATCCTGGTTGAAAACAAATCGCCAAAACCAAACAACAACAAACAAAAAACAAAACAAAACAAACAACACAACGTCTAATTCCCTCACCTGCCCCTTCTCCTCACCCCTTCCCACCCCTCCAACCGCCCCTCCAAACGCCCGCGCGAGCGGCGTGAGGCTCTGGCCGGCCGCCTGGGCACGGCGTGCCTCTGCCTGGTCCTCGCCCAGCAAACGGTGCAGCAGCTTAAAGAGGTGGCTCTTGGTCGGGGGATACCTCGGCGCCAGCGGCGCTCGCAACCAAGTTTCTGTCCAAAGGAGTCCTATGGAAGCCCAAAAATGTTTTTTTCTGGAATGTGAGAATGGGGGTCCTATGGCTTGCCGTGGGTTCTTGTGGCTTTCTTCGGATTTTCGCTCAGAGCCACTTCGAGCAATGAGGCTGAGTGGTTGAGGAAGAGTCGGCCAGCGATGGTTCCGCACAGGAGGGCTGAGGGCGGCTTGATTTGCGTTGATTGCTGGTAATTACTTTATTGGGCGCACTTGTCCAGGAAAAGGCAGCCAGTCAACCGCTAACCTCATGGTGCCGCAACCGGCGCCACAACCAAGCAATGACCCAAAGGGAAACATTGAAAAGCCCAAATGGCCGAGTTTCGATTTTGATACTTAAGGCGTGCACAAAGCTCCAACTTTGCACTTTCGGCGGCCCACAGGGCCTGTGTGGATGATGTCCCAAATAGAATCGCCCGGCCATGTGCAGCGCAGTGTGGTGGTGAGGGCAAAGTTGGGGTGCCAGCAACGCAAGCTAGAAAGCACATGCATTTTTGCTGAGGTCAAATTCGGTCTTCCGAGTTGTTGATTTATATCGTATCATTCGAGTTTGTTTGTTCATCCTGGCCTAGTCCAGTTCCAGAACGATTGAAACTTGGTTTAGGGTCATGTCTGTGTTGGGTCAATATGGGTATTAAATCGTGGCTCTGTCTTGGCTAGCCCTGATCAGGCACTGGCTTAATTTTAACTCAGTGTTGCAAATTATTGGCACATGGTGGCGTGCTAGCACGCAGTCCAGAACTCGCCACGAGGCAAAGCGAGACTTCTTTGTTTGGCAGCCTTCTAGCAAGGTCTCTAGCCCCCAAACTAATCGACCAGGACGTCTAGAAACGTGCCCTCCAGCACATCCAAAACACTCCCACTACAGCTGGGCAACTCAATAAAAAACCCCACAAGGGGTTCCGCTCAAATGCCAGGGCTTCAATGATCCCCCTGCTGTGGATGCACAATATTCTGCACCAGTTGGGATGGAAGAATAGCGGGGAACACCGCCTATGCACTGGTGCAGGATGCGTTCCATCCAGAATAGTGCGTCGTGGCGGCTTCAGGGCACAAGGGAAGGCCTGCGCCAAGTCCAGAAATTCCCGGCTCAGCCGCAGCAGCCGCGGGATTGCAGGCTCCTCCATGCGTTCCTGCCAAAAACTAGTGGCATCCCCAGCAGCAAGGAAATGCAAGGAACCCTTTCGGGACCCTGGCCCGGAGCCCTTCCGAACCCCTCCAGGGCCCATCTGGGCAGACTCTGGGCAGGACCCCCTTCAGCTTTCTGCATTTGGTGAAACAGACGCAAACAAATGCAGCATTGGACCTGCCTGAAAGTGCAGGGCAGCAACTCACTTGCCGAACGAAAACGAAAGACAAACCGCTCACCTTTTTCCTCTTGTCGAAGAGATCCGACATTCTTGAAGGAAGCCTGGGGCACAAGTGTTAGCACCGTGAAAAGCGATAGCAGTTCCTGCGCATGCTGCACGAAGCGGAAACAACAAGACAACCCTGCAGAACATCATAGAGGCTGAGGCCAAAAAGTCCAACATTTAGCATGGCACTCGTATCGTCTAACTTGGTTGGTATTCCCTTGCGAGTGTAGGGATCGGGGCGCAGAACTTGAACAAGCCGAAGCCGTTTGGGGAACGGTCGTGAAACGTCACTACCCGGCCAAACAACGTCGCGCTGTTTGGTGTGTTGTTAGATCATATGGTGCTTTTGGCAGATTTGCCAGACGTACAACCTAGTCCGGGCCAAACAAAATGCAGATTTCAACCTCAAACTAAGTTCCATGATAGTGACATCCCGCAAACTATCGCTCCTGACATCCGATTACCATCACCCGTCTTCTCAAAATTTCGAACAAACAACCAACCATCACATGCTTCTAAATGGCAGCCCCAGGCCAACTCAAACAGGTTCTATGTGAGTGGCCGCTGCTGTCTGTCAACCACCCGAATTATCTCCAAGTAGCACAGTCCGGCGCGCCCCCCAAGGTGTCCCAAAACAACGTCCATGTCAGGTTCCATGCTAACACAATTCCTCACTCACAAAGTTTTCTCGCACAAAGCCCCGAACAGGGCCCCCCTCCCCTACAAATAAACATGTAATCCAAAAAGGGTTCCCCGAAAAGGAGCTTCGACTGCAAAAAAGCATCTTTGGAATTCCGTGTTCATTTGCAGGAGTGTTACATAAATGGCTGCCAAATGAATGGCTGCCAAGCAATGGTTCCAATCAAAGTTGGCCGCCGAATAAATGTCACGGATAGCAAAACAAAAGAAAGATATTGTTAGCTTCCAGATTTTGAACCACTTCGCAATGGTTGCCACGTTAGCTCCTCAACATGAAACTTGTGAGCAGTGGAATCCCCCATGGTTCAGGATCCATGTTTATTAGAAAACATCCTGATACTTGCTTTCATAGAAGGCAAACAAAACGGCCCGACACAAGTCATTGGCGCAGAGTCCCCGCGGAGAGCGTCATAAGACAGCTCCCCGCGCTTAACACAAAACCCGAAAGATGATGCTTTCTATTTTTGACACGTTATTCTGTAGGGTTGTAATGTTCATCATGGGTGCAGCCATCACTTTTACCTCTGCAGTTTGCTGGCTATTTCCGCGTCCTATCAATCTGCCAGTGTCACCACCCACTCACAGGATTCTATCACATCAAGCCACAGAAACCCCAGTGGCGACTCGCTTACTTTGCATTCCTCTCGGGCAAGCATGAAACCGTAGTGGTGCCCCTTAGTCTGGACGATTGCCCCTGTCAGAATCTTTCAGCTTTCTGTTGGGTTCTGTGGTAGGATAATTGCCGATCCTTGCATTCCACTTGCCCTGTATTCACCGGTTAATCAGTTTGCGACATTCATCATTCATATACGCCACGTAATGGTACACTCCTGGTTGAGGGCGTCCCCATTCTTGGGAAGGGAGGGGCGCCCAACAAATTAATCCACGCCATTTCCACGTGCTTCAGGCGTCACTGAGGTCTTATTTTCGAAAGTCATTCTGTGACATTTCCTCCTGACAAAGAAACAGGGATAAAACACATCTGCTGCAGAACAGTCCCACCACATAGTTCTAATCCGATTTCAATTGAAGGCCCTTTGGTTTACAGTTCCCCATCCATTCTTGGAGCTTCCCCTGCCCCTCGCGGAGAAAAAAAAGGGAACCCTTTTAGGGGTGGACTCGGGGTGGACCATTGTGGGGAACCACGAGGCTGGGGCATCCTCGATTTGACGAATCCCCGGCCTCCGCGAAGAGGTCTGGGGACTCCAAAAGAGCTTCTGCGGACATGACCGCTGCGCATCCAGTGAGCTCCTGAAAAATCCGACCCAATGGGTATGTGCTTCTTGAAGGGTGCCCTCTTGCGGTTGGCTGCAAGGGAAACGAAAAGGAAACCAAAAGGAAACCAAAAGGACAGCGGAGGAAAACCAAAAGGAACCCAAAGTCCATTTTGAGGGTCCACATCCCTATTTTGATTCATACCTTTGACGCTGCCATGGCCAAACTGTCACCTCTACCCTATGTGGTCCCACATTTCGCCTTGCAAGGAAAAAACCTGGTCCGCGCAAGCCAGGCAACCGTGGCTTGCACTAGTCGAAGGCAGTCCTTGCTGGCAGCATTATATACACACTGGTAACTGCAGCACCGGACGTAAACACCCAAAATTGGATGATAACTCCGGGGATGCAAGCCGTATGACGTGCCCATGGTCCAAAGGAGAACTGCTGAAAGCAAAATGCAGCGACCCAGGCCACAAAGTCCCTGGCTAAGTCCAGCCCAAGGGAATACGTATTGCCTATCAAAAAAATCAAGTCGGCCTTCCTCTACAATTTCTAGGGCTAGAAGGCCTTTGGCAGCTTCGAGCCACAAACCCGAACCTTGATTTACAACTAGCTCGTTCAGCAAAACTGACTTCAGCCGCCCACTTACCAAGGAACAGCGAAGGCCGACCATGCGGGGGACCAAAAAAAACAAACACGGCACTCAACAAGCTAAGATTGTCAAGCCGATTCCTAGGCCAGTCCGGCGGTCCTGGCATCTGACAGCATCCTGCCTGGCAGGCCATGGATGTCCGAAGGAAAATCAATTGTGATTGGAAGAGAAATAGAAAATCAATAACAACTTAGACATGTGACATAATAATATGTATTCATCTGTTTGTTTGTTTTTTGTTCTTTTTGTTTGGTTGATTCTTTATGATGGTTACCTTTCCTTTTTTTGGTATCCATCTCTTTCTTCCTGGTACAACGTCGGATATTGGATCTAGGATAGGAAAGAGAGTGAGGCAATTGTTTAGCCCTTACGCTTGGAAGGGCTGGACCAGTGAAAGCAATTATCTGTGTTCTTAGGAATGTACCTGCTTTAGATTGTTGTTTAGGTTATGAAGAGATGAAGGGAGGATGACAGGGTAAAGAGAGAGCAGTTCCTTGAGAAGACTGTTCATTGAGGTTAATTTATCTGTTTCTCTGCTATCTCTTTAGGTTGTAGCTCTTGGTCTCGTCACGGCTCGCGACATCTCTTTTCCAAATCCTTTCACCTCTTACATCTGTATCTGCATCTCTGGGATTGGAGGTGTACGAAGCGAAGAGATAGAAATGTGATCTTGCTTACCTTCCATCATGAAGAGGATGGGAGAATGGTGGCTCTCTGTCGTTATCACTTTCTCTATCACTTTGTCTCAGTTCCCAATCCAAATAATTTCAAAACTCTAGAATTGAAAGTTTATTAGTAAGAGATAAAGTCTATTTGGAGGGATGATTCGGCCTAAAGTATTTCAACATATGGGTGTGCTGCCAAAAAAAACGCCCCAAAGATATCCCACAAAATACTATTCTGGCCCCATCGTTCCCTTCTAAATGACCGCCGGGGCGCCCTCAAAGAGGACATACCCCCTGTTGGCCTAGTCTACAGTATTGTTTGTTGGGCGGGCTGAATGCACAGAACAAACATCGGAAGGCAAGACTTCACAATACACAGTCACGATTCCACACAGCATGAAGCGCATGTCAGTATTCCGGATCAACGGCAGAGGGCTTAAACATGCTGCGGGACATCAATCAGCAATTCGCGTTGAACATAGCAAGGGCAACCACATGGAAGCCCTGGTAAATACAGGGGTAGCCTTACATGATCAAACACAATGCATATAATTTATAATACCATGCAAGTGTAAGCTTCAACATGGAACATCACCGTATGGCCAGGAAAAAGCCCAAGCTGTTGTTGCGATTGGATTCTGATAACTCATGGATGGCCATGCCTATACGCTCCAAGTCCCCATCGGAGGTGGCGACGCAGAACAGCCAGTGAAATCCCATCCACGATCATCGGTCAATGCGTGTGTATCCACATTCTGATTGGTTCATCTTCCGCCATTGCTGTGTCTGGAGCCTCTGTCTCTTTCCCTCCCGCCCTCTCTCTCTCTCACACCCTCCAACTCTACCTAGCTGCCTGCCTGCAGTCTGCCTAGCGCTGTCTGCCTGTCTGCTCTCTTCGCCTTTACGTCCGTCCGCCCCTGTGTGTCTCTCTCTATCTCGTTCGCTCTCCTTCCTCAGTATCTCTCTCCGTCTCCTTCTCCCTCTCTCCGTTCCATCCCTCATTCTCACCATGTTGTAGCTATCTTCTGATCCCTCCATATCAATGTCCATTCGTATTTCGGTAAACCTGGAACCCTGTATGCCATGTCCAAACCATAATTTTCGCACACCTATCTGCGGCCAGCAAGCTCCATTCCATATACCTGCGTTATGTTCAAGCAAAGCCTCAGGGGGGATTTGATTAAATTCCTTCCAACGTGATGTATGCGAAGAGGGCGTAAGCTCAAGTCCGTCTATGCAACTTTGTGCTTTCAGACCGCCCCACCGTGCCTGGTCTCGATGCCGCCATTCGCGATGACCGGGATATTCAGCACCTTCCGGATCTCGGCTATCGCGTCCCAATCCTTATGTATGAAACACTCTTTCAATCGATATGGTGAGAGCAAGCGCACACAAACACAGACACACAAAATCCAAGCGCCAACATGAAACAATGTTGGCTTCTGGTGCATGCTGGCTATTGGTTTTACAAACGCAGAGAGGTTTTGGGCTGTTGCCTTGAATCAAGGACCCCTTTCCCCAAACAGATGAGTACGAAGGAATACGCTGCTTCGATTCAGTGACCCTCCTCCCGGCCTTGCCTTTCATTTACTGCATCGTCAGCAGAAACTTACCAAGAACGGCAGACTTGGCGTCCCACCAACTGACCTGCCCTTGGCAAGCGGGCTGCAACCTTACACCCACGCGTGGACCTCAATTGGGTCCAACTTCAGGGATCTTGCAGGGCGCAATTCTGGCGAAGCATCACTCACCAGGAAGCAAACTTTGTCGCATGTCCCCCAAATATATGATCTTGAACAAAAAGAGGAAACAGACCAACAATGGTCCAAACCAACCCCTTCAAACACAAAGTGCCCCAGACGCCAATTGTCATTTCGAGTCCGAGTCTCGGGAGCCAAGTCCTCTTTCCGACTCTTCGCGTACTTGGGCCGCTGCTCCAAAGTCCGGCCGTGGATGCAGAGCGCAGCCGCGCCCGCCTGCAGTTGCGAGCTACACGTGGATCTGCCTTTAAAATGGTGCCGTTCACCAGTTGTTGGGCATGAACCTTGGGATTCCCTTAAAGGAAGCACAAGGGATGGGATTGTTTATGGGGGTGATTCCCTCATTACCTGCTGAGCACCAGCAAGTAAACGGTGACTTTTTCTTGGGTTGAAAGCGAAACCACGGAGCACAAAAACATGGGGAAACCCCATATCTTGTCTCAAACCCACATGGTTTGAATCGTGGGGGGGGGGGAACGGTTGGGGTTCAGTGTTTTTGGGTTTCCTTTTCAGCCATGCCATGCCCCAAAAGGGTGCCCTCAAAAACAAACACCCCCATGTTCAAGTGGTAATCAATGTCGTAGCAGCTTGGCGGGCAACACTTGCGACCCACGGCAAAGTCTGGCAACAAAAGTGGAAGCTCGAGCCATCGAGAAAGTCGCGACTTTGGGTGGCACATACACAGTAGTTCTGGGAAAATCAAACCAAGTCTATCCCGTGCAGAGGTGTTGTTCACATACTCGCTTCATTGAGCACCTGCCCTTGAGGCTTCCCCAACACATGAGGCGCGGTCCCAAATGGAAGAGCGCTTCTTTGGATCCTTCACCTCCGGACTCAGACCACACGGCACGAGTATGCATTTCAATTCGAAGCCTTTGGTGGACATCATTTATGTGGAGATTCAGGGCGATCCCCGAACATATCATACCGCAGCCGTATTTTCTCCAAGACTCCCATTTCGGGGTTGCTTCAATGGAAGAGGAACCCGCAGAAAAGCCACCCAGTTCGGATGTTCCCCTGGGACCCGTCACCACCTGCTCAATGGCGCCAGCCAGCTCGAGAGTGGCCGATCGGTCCCTCAGCAGGCGCATCTTGGCCTAAGGTCGCGCACCCTGGCTGCATGTGGGGCGCCCCTTCAAGAGAGGCCAATACCGAGCACAAGGATCATGAGTCGGTTTTTAATTTCAAGCCTAGGGAGCCCTCCAGCTTTCAGCTTTCAAAGGAATTCAGGGAACCCCCATACATTGAATCATGCAATGTTCCGTTTTCCAAGGATCCTTCTAGGATCGGTGCTTCCGCTCTGGGTGAAGAGACTAGGGAACCCCCCAAACAAGAAGTTCCCAAAATTGTGAGAATGTCTAAACATGAACCCTGGCCAGTGTTTGAAAGGGAAGAGCATAAAACAAAATAATAATAATAAATAAAAAACGAGTTAGAGGCTCTCAAACTTAGACCCAAAGACGGGACTCTTTTTACCCTTTGCCTTTCACCCAAAACGGTTTCCCTCAAACTTGCCGAATGCACACCCATATGAGGATGTCTCCAAAACGGAACCCAACATACTTTGGTTTACCTGCACAAGACTCCAGAAATAAGTCTTCAAAATCTGACTCATAGTTGCCAGTTGCCTTGCTCAAAGCCCGTAGTGTGGGGTTCTTACTGTCATCTCCGCGTTGTGTAGAAACCCTGACAGTAGAATGGTTGCTTAAACTCCCGGGATAGGATTGCTGAACCCCACGAAATCTGCAATGCCCTTGGCGAATGTGGGTTTTGCGCTTGAGGATGGAAGCCTCGAGGAAGGGTTCAAGGGCGGAGTCCTGTGGTTTCCATCACAATCTGCAGCCATTTTTTCAGCTCCAGCACGAGGTGTGGCACCATACCCAGGGCAACCACCGCATCACAAAGCCGCTGACACTGAGCAACAGCACATGGCAGCAGCAACAACCCTGGTGGGACAG